TACAAAGGACATTAGTTCCACCCCTCATTTGTTCATTAAGATTCGAATTTCTTTTGTTCAAAATTTAATAATGTTGTCTAGGTTGCTAGTGCAACTGTAGGTCAATTTGACAGTGTTGCGATTAAATAATTTGTACAACCCGGACGGTTTTGGAAATGCTTATTTAAAAGGTTAAAAAATATTTCCCTATATTAGTTCTTACTTGCATGTTGACGGGTGGGTTTAGTCAGCTATCATTCCTTCTTTTTTCTGGTGTCATTTGTTTTGGGATCTAATTGGTTCTTTAAACACAGGTTGACATTGTGCCCCTCCTCTCTTAATGCAGATACATTTTTTGCTTCTTTTTTTTTTCATTGAATATTTTCTTCATTTGGAGAATTGTCGATAGTCTGCATTACACGCCTAACGGGATATGTCTGATCAAACTTGACAGGTGGTTGGATGCTGTATTTACGTATTTCAAAGCCATACTAGGCTTCATAAATGGTGAAATAGTTTCAGTCAACAAATTTAGCTCTATGTCGAAAATCTGTACTACTTTCTGTTAATTTCCACTGTAAATGTCGAAAAATAAGATCTTTTAAATATCTTTTTAGTCTTTTCATGATGGAATATTTTTTATCTTTTGTTATCACCATCAGTCTATCATCACGATATATTCCGTGTTCAACGATGTAGACAATTTTATTTATATTTATTTAACCTTTTATATATATATATATATATATATATATATATATATATATATATATATATATATATATATATATATATATATATAATATATTCATATATAAATATAAAAAATATATATATATAAAATATATATATATATATATATATATATATATATATATATATATATATATATTCATTTCTGTAGTTTACTGCTACCAGCAAGCAGAAATATTTTTTCCCTGATGATGGCCATTTTGGCCGAAACTAGTCGAGGAATCTAAATGAAATAATAATAAAAAAAAAACGAAAGAATATTAATCTACAACCCAGTGTGTCTGAAGATTTTAATTTTTTAATATTTTTTTATTGTTCAATATATATATATATATATATATATATATATATATATATATATATATATATATATATATAAAAAAAAGATTAAACACTAATATTCCATGGTCATAATTTATTCCATTGGAATCATAAATGGAATAAAGGAATAAATTATGACCATGGAATATTAGTGTTTAAGCCTTTTTATTATATCCTTACTCTGTCCTGGACTTTGAATTCTACCGAGATTCTATCCTCTTGGAATATTTCTTTTTTTTAAACAAATATATATGTGTGTATGTATGTATGTATATATATTTATATATTTTGCATATGTATTTGTATATTTACTTTATTTTATCTATCTATTTATCTATATATATATATATATATATATATATATATATATATATATATATATATTATATATATATTGTTAAGCAAAGTGAATGAAAAAGTAAATTTATATTTATAATATATAAAATAATTCTGTCGCTGTCTGTCTGTCTGTCTTTCTCTCTCTCTCTCTCTCTCTCTATATATATATATATATATATATATATATATATATATAACAATTAGCTTTGATGAGCGTTTTGGCGCGAAACGCTTGAGAATACTACCTAGATAAATTCCTACAACTTTTCTGGATGTATTAGATATTATACCTCTAGTTATTTTAAAAACTTTTTTTGTGGAAAACACGTAAAAAATTTTATAAAAATTGTAAATTTATCACATATTTTATCAGTTATATTATTATTATTATTATTATTATTATTATTATTAACGAAAACTTCCGAACCTCTCGCTGCTGTATCAATTGTTCCATCGCATGCGTTCTGATAAGCGACATTCTTTTGTCTCACCAGCCCAGACCTTTATAACTGCGACCCACTATGCCACGTACACAAGAGTGAATCATCTCCATTCCATTTCGTATTCAATTAATAAGAAAGAAGTTCCACTTGGACAGCTTCTTCACAAGAACTGCTGTTTTGTGAAACAGACGCCTATCAGGATCTTTTCCCCAATCACTACAGACTTGACCTCTTCAAGTTAAGTGTTATTTTTCCTGCAATACCCCATTAACTTTACTTCTTGCGTTTTCTTACACTCATACAAACAACGCACATTAACCCTCTACCTTGAGTGCCTTTTGGGCCCTGTATTGGCTGAATGTTAGTATAAAAAACAATAGCGGGGGAGATTGTTACTGGTTGATACAAATTCATCGATTTTCTTATGCACATCTACTGAATTATGTGAGAATCTTTTATTGAATTTCATTTGCCAACGACGAATGTTTTCAAAAAAAGATAACTTGTATAGAGTAAATGCCTTAAGAAGCAACGTTTGTAGACACCATTTCACTGACGTTTATATCATCACACTTATTATAAAACGCAGATTGTGTGTGCGTGTGTCTGTCTATTTGTGTGTGTGTTGTGTGTGTGTGTGTGTGTGTGTGTGTGTGTGTGTGTGTGTGTGTGTGTACGTTTATATATTGGATCGGATTTCCTACATTTTTCAACCGATTTCAACAAAACTTCACAGGACTACGTAAAATTGCCTTGCGGTGGTTCTGACAGCGCCAAAAATTGGAAAAGCACAATTGTTTTTGCAGGAAATCAATTTGAAGACACGATTAAGAGGCATCGCGAGAATGAAAGGGGGACAACTCATATCGAGTTATACTTATTATAAAACCCAGGTTGTGTGTGTGTGTGTGTGTGTGTGTGTGTGTGTGTGTGTGTGTGTGTGTTCATATATGGGATCGGATTTCCTACATTTTTCAACCGATTTCAACAAAACATCATTTTTATTTTGGCAGGTAGTGTTTCTTATTGTCTTGCACACTTTTTTCTTTATTTTTACATTCAGAATGCTTTAAAAATTCCATTTACAAGACAATTGTTTATAATAAAATTCTATTCAATCGGTAGACTCATAACGATTGAAAACAATGTTTTTGTTTGAGTTTGGGTTTGACCAATTCGAAAAAAAAAAAAAAAAAAAAGAACTAATTAAGACATGCGTGTCCGTCAAGCTTAAACAATAATCTTTGTCAATTTTATTTTTCAGTCTTTATGATGGTCGATACTTGATCTATCTCTTACTGTTACATCCCCGGGCAACGCCGGGCTCTACTGCTAGTATGTAATATAATATCATAATTAAAAGAGTGAGTAAAAATATAAAAATGAAAAAGGCTGGTAGAAAAGAACAGTGATATTTTGGATTTGTTTATATAATGAACTTTTTAAATGCATAGATTCAACTGAGTCTCTGAGCACAGATGTTAGGTGATTAAAGAAATCTACTAGTGTGTGTGTTTCTGTGCAACGTGGTGAACTGTTTACGTATATATATATATATATATATATATATATATATATATATATATATATATATATATATGAGCGAAATCTAGCTTTGGGAAAATATCACAGAGCAACAGCTGCTTATACATTTTGGCTTCAGAGTTTGGCGCCAACTGACAGAGAATCCAAGAAGCACTGACCAGCACACAGCACTATTTCCGAGATAGATAGATAGATAGATAACGAAGAGACAGGATAGATAGATAGATAGATAGATAGATAGAAGATAGATAACGAAGAGACAAAGATAGATAGATAGATAGATAGATAGATAGATAGATAGATAGATAACGAAGAGACAAGGATAGATAGATAGATAGATAGATAGATAGATAACGAAGAGACAAAGATAGATAGATAGATAATAGATAGATAGATAGATATGATAAGACGAAGAGATAGATAGGGAAAAAAAAAGAGATAGATAGATAGATAGATAGATATGGATAGATAGATAGATAACGATAGATAGATAGATAGATAGATAGATAGAAAGATAGATAGATAGATAAAAAAAAGAGACAAGGATAGAAGATAGATAGATAGATAGATAGATAGATAGATAGATAGATAGATAGATATGAAAAGACGAAGATAGGTATGAAAAGTCGAAGAGATAGATAGATAGATAGATAGATAGATAGATAGATAACGAAGAGATAAGGATATGATAGATAGATAGATAGAAAGATAGATAGATAGAAAAAGAGACAAGGATAGATAGATAGATAATAACGAAGAGACAAAGATAGATAGATAGATAGATAGATAGATAGATAGATAGATAGATAGATATTTTAATAGATAGATAGATAGATAGATAGATAGATATATATGACAAGAGATAGATAGGTTTGAAAAAGGCGAAGAGATAGATAGATAGATAGATAGATAGATAGATAACGAAGAGATAAAGATAAATAGATAGATAGATAGATATGAAAATTTCGAAGAGATAGATAGGTATGAAAAGTCGAATAGATAGATAGATAGATAGATAGATAGATAGATAGATATTATAAAGAAAGAGAAAAATCTAGTCAGAGATAGATTTTAGATAGATAGATAGATAGATAGATAAAGATAGATATAACGAAGAGACAAGGATAGAGAATAGATAGATAGATAGATAGATAGATAGATATTTTATGAAAAATGAGATAGATAGATAGATAGATAGATAGATAGATAAAAAACGAAGAGATAGAAAGATAGATAGATAAATATGAATTGTTTGAAAGTTCCACAGATGAACAGGAAAGATAGAAAAAAAGGACACGAGCTTTTTAAACATGTTTTTAATGAAGAATAATCCATTTTCCCTCCTTCATATTAGAAGAAAAAAAAAGAAACTTTTCTTGTTTTTTTTTTACTGATATAAATGTCTTTAGGAGGCAAATATATTCTAATTCCTTGATATTAAGAAGAATTCAATTGAATTCAGCTGTTAGTCTTTTCTTTTTTTTTCTGTAATGATTTATTTTTGATTTAATATTTAAATATTAGATAAAAGTTAAAATATAAAAAAGAAAAAGAAAAAAACTCCAAAAGGGCATTTTTATTTGCAGTTTTTCAATTAAACACACGTAAACAGGAAAGACACTAAACCACTACGATATAGATAGATAGATAGATAGATAGATAGATAGATAAAGAATATACTGAGATAGATCCATATATAAATAGAAAGACAAGAACTAGCTTAAATATGAAGAGAATAAGAAGATAGAAGAACATAGATAGACAGATAGATAGATAGATAGATAGATAGATAGAAATAAAAGAAGATAGATAGATAGATAGATAGATAGATAGATAATAGATAAAAGATGTGAAAATGAAAAAGATAGATAGATATATAGATAGATAGATAGATAGATAGATAGATAGAAAAGAATTATAGATAGATAGATAGATAGATAGATAGATAGATAGATAGATAGATAGATACGAATATACTGAGATCGATCGATATATAAATAGAAAGATAAGAAGTAGCTTAAATGAATTGATTTGTGTATTTAACGGCATATCAACTCTTTATGGGTCATTTGATGCCGAAAATTAATTTTCTTTGCAGATTTGAAGCAACAAATATATGTTATTCCGCTTTCATAATTGTATACATGGTAAATGATCCTCAGCATTTATACATATACTAGAGTCGGTGATGTATGTTTTATGTTGTAGTTTTCTTGAAGTTATATTTTGGAATACAGTTTAAGAAACTGAAAGATATTATATGGAATAATGTCATGAAAGAGTTCTTTCATATTGGCTGTTTGGTTGGTAGATTTTGTTTGGCGTCATATCAACCTCTTTGTGCTATTTAATGCAGGAATCTAAATATTTTGAACGCAGTTGTATGCTTTCAACTCTAGCTAAAATGTATTGTGGTATTTTCTTATATAAAAAATTATTGCCGGCATTTTTTATTATAAAAATATATTTTTATACTTTCACAATTTTTTATTTTGTTTTGCTGGAGTTGGGGCACTATTTACCCATAGCAGGGACCCTAGCAAGTACAACCACCCAAGGTCAGGATAGACCTGAAAACAAAAGCAATTAAGCTGCCGGATGCAGTTTATCGTCATACCTAGGACTGAGCTTAAATAAGAAGAGACATAGATAGATAGATAGATAGATAGATAGATAGATAGATAGATATGAACAAGCTATAATACATACATACGTTCATGTAATCAGGTTGGTAAAGAATAAAAAGTAGCCATACAAAATAACACAGAAAGATATGAACAGAGAGAAAGAGAGAGAAAGCGAAAGATTTTCATACAGTAACCACTTTATTTTACTCAAATATTCTGTGTTCTTCTTTGAGAGAGCAATATTAATCATTCAAAAGCAAGCAGATGGTTTTGAACAAAGGATATAATAGTCAATGAATTTATAGCTATATCACTTGACTGATATTTGATATTCATCTACGGATATCCAGTATGGTATATCTACAGATAGATATTCCGAACATGATGTACAGATCGAGTACTTCAGTATTTATCTCACGTAGAAAAAAAAAACTATATGCGCACGTGGGTCACTTTGAAAGCAATACATCTTACTTTATTATGTTAGTTCACGGTGTCAGTAATGGATGTTAGTGGCATGGGAGTAGTTTTCCCACCAATAACCCGTCTTTTTTTCCTTGTCGCAGATAGCAGCTGAGTGTGGCAAAATTGTGTCTGACATGAAAGTGTGCACGAAACATGTGCGACATTGAAAACACCATCTGCATTGATATTCCTTAACGTTCTCTGAACGTTTAAAGAGATCAAACAGTGGATGTGAACACAGGCAGTGGATAATGTATTTCAGTGTCGAGAGCGATGTGTGTGACAAACCTCTTTTTTTTTTTACAGGCGCTGAAAAATGCATGCATAGTAATGGATGGCTACTTTTTCCGTGTTCACCCGTCTGCTATAGTGCCTATCGACTTCCTGTAACAGGCGCCTGGTCAGACATGTTTGGTGCTTCTTCAACATGTAGAGTGCACATTTGGTTTATACTGCTACTATGCTGAGCGAATCTTACAGTTTTGAACAAGACGAGTGCGCTCAAATCCTCAGTCACGATGACTTGTGAAATTTGGGCTCCGAAAAGTTCCATCGACTTAATTTCATTCAGAAGGCTTATAGTATGGTTCCCATGCACTTTCTAAAGAGTCCGCACGCTGGTTCGCCTCCCCAAGTAAATAATATGGTGAGATTTAATTATCTTATGATCCTTTTTAGAACCTTCGAAGTTTGGTTAAAAATGCTGTTTTCCATGCGTCAGTGGATGACCATTAATTAATATAGGAAATTTTAACGTCTTTTTTGCAGTGCAAAACACAGATTTGGCAATTCTTACAAACATTCGATAAATTTCATATTTCAATTAAACTTTCAGAACTTATTCGCAAATATTTAAAATTATTTTAGAAATGTTTCTTTTTTAGAAAATCTTGATAAAAATATTTTTTACATCTCTCAACCCCCACTTATTTAATTTAATTTAATAAAATTTAGAGAAATTCTTCTTTCTAGTGCTTATCACAAGTACTTTTATTTAAATCATGGAATTTTTTTTTTGGGGGGGGGGTCAAACAGGAACCCCAGTTACAGAAAATCTGCTCTGAATCGTAAAATAAAAAATGCAATAAAACTAAGATATTATTTAATTGGAAAAAACATTTAATAATTTTATGTATAAAATATATTATGGATTTTTAATAAGTTTTTAATAAAGAGAATTACGTTGTGTTGGCAGATTTATCAATATGTGCGATTTTAGCGTTTTACTGATAATAATTTGTTTCTAAATACAACATAGTATTTTATTTATTGTAAATATTAAATTTAATCTATTAGCTTGAAATTAAAACTAAAATTAATGCTCCAGAAAGATTCTTAATTTTCAAATATTGTTTTTTGAAACTTAGGTATCGCTTTTCCTTGGAGTTGCCTACATACACAGAGGCCCTGGAAATTTTCAGGACCTAAAAACTGTTGCAGTTCAAGCTTGTGAAACTTTCCGTCAAGCATGTCTACATTTACTCCTTGAGGATGATCCACACTGAAATGCTACTCTAAGTGATGCAACTGTTACTAGCAGCCCATTCGAACTGAGAAATTTGTTTACAATCATACTGTCTAACCACGAGTTGAATTGGTCTATTAGTATAAAATATGAACAAAACAATATATCCCTAGACATGTTGAATGAGCAGAACGAGAATAATATATCCTTGTAGACTAAAGAAAGGGTTCAATTCGAAATTGACTGATTGTTACCCAGACACTTAAAGAAGGCTGGAGAGCAAAACGGTCGAAACATTATAATAATAGTAAAAACGATGGCATTAGTCTGGATGTAAATAACGTAAGTAAAAGTTAACAAAAGATCTGAACATGAAACGTTTTTTTGTACATTTTTGAGACTATTTTTGCAGAAAGAAAATAAAAATAATTTAAAAAAATGACTACAAATTTGTGAACAATTTTAATGTATACATAATTCAGGCTATTTTTCAATGCTTTCTCGTCCATTAAGAGACACACCACTGCGCACACACGTGTGCAACCTACATTTATAATGAATATCAGTATGCACCTGAAAATTAGTTTTCGAAATATTATTATGTGCTTCTGTATTAATTGACTTCAATATGGCGCTCGGGAAACAGAAAATGCAACGAACCATGTACAAAGTCTTAAAATGGGAATTAAACGCCTTCTTCGAGATTATCTAACATTTCTTTATTGTTGAACGGCAACTACAGTGCTGTTCGATAAAAGTGACTCACCTGATTTTTTTTTTATTTAAAAATTTTTCGCCAATTGTTTTTGGGGTCAAACTAATTTTTAATCTTACTAATATAAAGACCCCTTCCCAACCACCTAGTAAAAAAAAGTTACTCACCCTAAGGTATTCTATTGATAATTATAATTTTGGATATAAATGAGATTTAGGGAAAAACTCTGTGCAAAAAAAAAGTGACTCACTTATTTCCTGCAACTAGTAATCAATAGAAACATAACCGAACAGCTTTAAATAAAGAATAATAGAGGTATAATTTATTTATAATAGGTAATATAGTTCGAAATATTTAATAATCTATGGGTCCTCCTTTATTTTGAATAACCTTTTCAACCCTTTTTGGCATTGACTTGATTAGGTTCTGGCAAATCTCATCTCCAAGCATTGAATTCCATTCGGATATGAAATTCACAATCAAATCCTCTTTGTTGCTCAACTGCTTTCTCGAGAGCCTGTACTTTATAATGCTCCATAAGTTTTCTATGGGGTTGAGGTCAGGAGATTGGGGCGGCCATGTCATAACACTCACCTGCTTCTCATCAAAGTATTCCTTCATCAATTTTGATTTGTGACAGGGAGCATTATCCTGCATAAAAATGAGCTTGGTGGGGTCGATTTGCACCCTTTCAGCAGAAGGGAGCAGACAAGACTCTAAAATTCTCTTGTACTGCTCACTCCTGAGGGTCTTTTCAATAGGTTTTAAGAAACCAGTTCCATGAAAAGAAAAGCATCCCCAGAACATTATACTGAACGGATGCTTGACAGTACTTACTGCTAAATTCAAAGAGCTTTCAAAGCTTCTTCTTCGGATTTTAGATCGCTTATCCTTTGAATTTAGCTCAACTTTCGTTTCATTGGAGAAAAGAACATTTAGTAAAAAAAATCATATTCGAACAGCACTGCATTTCAAATCCTGGGATGGACGATTAGCATTAGTCGTCACGGTATTAGGACGTATATTTTCATTCTTTTTGTCTTTAATTTAAGCCAATATAGTCTTATCTTTTTCCTCAAAAAATTATAATCTACTGAAATATATATATATATATATATATATATATATATATATATATATATATATATATATATATATATATATATATATATATATATATATATATATAGTAACGTTTCGATCCCACCTTGAAGCAATAGGATATCTAACCACAGTGATCATCCAAATTATAGACCAAATGAATTCTTTTGACAATATATATATATAATCCTCACTATTAAGTATTGTAATAAAAATAAATTTAAAAGCATTCCTATATCTCCTTTCCTTCCTTTTCTAATTTCGACCATGTCTGTCACATTATCCCTGTTTAATAAATATTATATCACCTTACATCAACTTTACTACCCTTTAAGTGTAAAAAAAATTATATGTAAATTTAAATTTTTTTTTCACCCAATTTTTTTTACGTGGTCATTTTTGAGCCAAAGAAAAGAAATTCTCTTGGGAAATAAAATATAAGCATGGACTCTTAAAGTTGTCTGTTTTTACTTTAAATTAAATTATATATATATATATAATATATATATATATATATATATATATATATATATATATATATATTTTTTAAAATGAGTTGCATCGACAGTTGAGGAAATGTTTATTTATTTTCCGTATCATGTTTTTTTTAGCATTTATTTTATATTTAGCACTATTTTATTATAATCAGCACCGACTGTGTGCTATTATGCTTTCGTCCGCCGATTGAACAATATGGAGAAAAGGGAATTTATAACGGCTGCTGCTGCTGCTGCTTTAATGTAATGCTCTTCGTAAGAATTGCGCGCTATTGGTATGGCGTTTATATATTAGTATATAATGCGTTAAAATTTCTCTTCCTCTACGGTGCGCCGATAGCCTAGGGGTAAGAGTCTCTGACTGATGTCAAAAATGGTAGAGTTTCTCCCAGTTTGAAGCAATCATGAGGCCTATCTAACGACATGAGACGATGTGTAAACAATTGAAACAGTCTGTGGATGACTATATATGTTTATATATATATATATATATATTCATCCATTAAAAATGTTATATATATATATATATATATATATATATAAATATATATATATATATATATATATATATATATATATATATATATATATATATATATATATATAAAATATATAAAATTTTATTTTGGATGTCGGCTTGGATTGAGGAATCGGAAGCGGAGTTCATAACATTGACTGATTTTGTTGTTTGTATGCCAAGTTCGAATTCCAGTCGAATCCATTATTCACTAACGTGTAATACCATTCTGAAATAAAAAGAATCATTTTATTTGGCCCTTTTCAAAAAATGTTCATGGCTCTAAATAAAACCTTCAACAAAATAATCAAATCTCATGTGCTCTTGTCGGGCTGTCGGTTTTATGGGAACTGATCTGCTTGACCTATTCAATGCCGAACTCGACGAGAGATGATATACACACACATATATATATATATATATATATATATATATATATATATATATAGAGAGAGAGAGAGAGAGAGAGAAATAGATAGATAGATATCTAGATAGATAGATTAAAAAATGAGCTGACAAGGTTTATCTGTTTAGTTTTTTATTGTATTCTTCCAATTCACTAATATGGTGTAGTGTATTGTGCTCCAAATTCTGTATAAACTGTTCATATTCATGTTCAGTTTATGTTGTGTTAAAAAAAGGCGATTTTTTTTATTGCAACTTTTCTGTCTGTGTATATAGACAGAATGTCTAGGTCTATATTTTGGTATTCTTTGGAAAGCTGGAAGTAAAGGCGTTGGTTAGATCCAGTGACAGACCCAAAGAGTGTGAGTTCAATACCCGGTTAAGGCAGTGGAGAACTTTCAGAGGGAAAATTAGCAGGAGATAACTGATAGCTGACATCCATCAAACATGGCACGTGGAACTAGAACAGTCTACCCCAGTGATCGAAATAAAGGGTTCAGTTGACATTCCAACCAACTGAAGAAGGTCGGAGCGTACAACGAAACAGAAACTTTTTGACAAATATGGCGACAAAGATGAGGACAATAGTCCGACTAATGTAAATACTGTACATAATAAAAAAACTTAGAAATATAGACAGACTCTGATGGATCGCTATTATCGGAGTGAGCACAAAAGGAGCCGCTACAGTAATACTGGTAATCATAATGCTAATATTAGCCGTTTTTTTTATACGGAAATATTCGACATTTTATGACCTGCACTGCTACTGTCTGTTGAAAATTATAAAATCTATTAAAATAATTTTTCATTAAAATAGGTTTCTCAAGTCCAGTAGGTGTTATCGCTCTTTCCAGTATTGACAGGAAAGAATCGAAACTCTTTTTTTGTTTGGAGTAATGTGTAAGATCTTTCTCTTGATTATGTCATTATTTTGTCTACCAGTTACAGATGCTATCCATTTGAGTTGTTGCTGCTGTTGCAATTCTGTTGAAAATGATGCGGTTTCTGTTATTTGGAGAAAATCCAGTCCACGAGGTTCAAAGAATGAAGACCTTCGATAAGATCTACAGGGTCAATTCGCTTGAAGCCATTTCTATTGATTGATTTGAGAAAGTGATTTTATACGGTGAGAGTTTCGACATTTCTAAATAGGTTGAGGGACATGCATGACACCTTATATAAAATTCAACATCTGACGAGGCTATTTAAGAACATGGTTCGAGTTAAACGTCTGGTTTTGCAGCAACTTGCGGTATTGTGCAAAAAAAAAAAAAGGGCAAGCCTATTCTATATTTTCAATTCAGGTATCCTCAATACTATTATTATTATTATTATTATTATTATTATTATTATTATAACTGATCCATACACCCGGGTATTTGAAGTGTTTAGTATTTATTAATTCTACATCCAGAGATTCAGATTTCAGATTTATTTTTTTTTTTGGAAATTTGATTGTGAACATATAGATTCTATTTACATCATTCTATGTTTCACTCCCTGTTTTCCTACCTCTTCCTTCCTCCCTTAATTTCTTTCTTTCGTTCAGCATATTAATTAATCACTGCTTTTAAATATTTATTAAACTTAGTTTCGTCTAACACAAGGTCAAGCATGCGCTGTGAACGGGCTACTGATTGGCTTTGAAAGTCGGCATGTAAATCCCGACTTCTGTATTCAGTCAAGCGCCGACCACTGGCACTAATGGGAAAGATGACATAACCTTAAGCAGCAGACAGGTCCTATTCAAGATAGATAGATAGATAGATAGATAGATAGATAGATATGAACTGACTAAGATAGATAGATAGATAGATAGATAGATAGATAGATATGAACAGGGTGAGATAGATAGATAGATAGATAGATAGATAGATAGATAGATAGATAGATAGATAGATTCAGTAGAGTGAAAAAGGTGAGGAGAAACGAGTACTGACGGAAAACGTGTAAGATTTTAAAAAAAGAAAGAAAAGAAAATAGGAAACAGGAAAGAAAAAGAAAGAAAGCAAAAATTAAAAAGAAACTTAAATTAAAAGAAATGTAAAAAAATAGAATCCAGATGTTGTTAAAAGAAAGAAAGAAAGAAAGAAAGAAAGAATGACAGAAAAGGCAAATATAGGGAAGTTGAGAAGACGAGAGAAAATCGGCAATTTAATGTCAGAAATAAAATGAATAAATCCAGATGGTAGCGATCAGATATGATACTTTGCAGACATGTCTCTCTCTTCAATTTCTCTATCTCTCTTTTTCACGTACATACACACATACGTACACATACACACACACAT